TAGATAGATAGATAGATAGATAGATAGATAGATAGATAGATAGATAGGTATTTAGTCAGTCACCAATTGTGCAAGTTCTCCCACTTAAAAAGATGAGAGAGGCCTGTAATTGACATCATAGGTAGACCTCAACTAGGAGAGACAAAATTTGAAAAAAAAAAAATTATTTAAGTCAGGCAAAATGATTTTCTCAATTTTTTTTTTCAAATTTTGTCTCTCATAGTTGAGGTCTACCTATGATGTCAATTACAGGCCTCTCTCATCTTTTTAAGTGGGAGAACTTGCACAATTGGTGACTGACTAAATACTTATTTTCCCCACTGTATTTGTTGTGTGGTCCTAAAATAGTGAGAGGTTCTGTAACCTAGATTTGATCCTTTGTAGAGAAAAGAACACTAAGGGAGAGTCGTGTGTGTGCATCAGTGTGTACAGGGAATGCATCTTTTGTATTTTATTTAAAGCTTTTATACCTTCAAAAATCCTTTTGTTTGTTGGTGAGCACAATCATTACCAAAACGTCTCCATATAATGTTAATTTTCCAAATAGTACCCCACCACTTGCACAGTGACTGCTGGATATGGGCACCAGTGACCCCCGTGACCCTGAAAGGAAATAGCGGACATAATGGATGGGTGGATAAATGTTGTTTTCCATGATGGTATTTTATACGCCTTAACTTAAGCTGTAACTGGTTTTGTTTAACTACAGTGATGTTCCTCCACTTTCTGGCTGTAAGCTGATCTTTTCTATCCTTTTGTTTCTTAATGCATGAAAACACATCTAGCGGAAGACGTGTCAGTTTTCATCCCAGCCCATTCTCAGGTACTTATAGGGCAAAAGACATGGAGGCTCAAACTTTAAACTGAACAGACATTCTCAACATTTTGGTTACCGTTCCTTAAAATTTGTTCAGCAGGATCTGTGAAACCTGCAGTCGTATCAGTGAAACAGAAATCTTGTTTAATCGTTGTTACGTGATAACAGCAGGGAGAGAATAGAGTGGAAGCTGTGTGCTCAGCTGTTTGTATTTTTTTTTGCAAGCGAACAACAAGAACTGATGGTAGCTGATCTAAAACCATCCATGCCTATGAAAGGGAACCTTGTCAGAAAGGTAAGGGAAGTATTAGTCTGGTTGATGTTTAAAAGGATATCAAACTGAAACGGCCAACAAGAGCAAGCTGTTCCRGTCATCCTAAGTGAAGAAAGGAATTAAAGCTGAGAGACTGCAAAAAATTAACCCCTGAATTGAGTTTTRTTTTTATAAAATAGGTCAGGTTTTAATGCCATTTAACGCCTAAAGGCAAGCAATGTTTGATAGTACACAAATCCCTTAAAGTGCCACTCTAAGATAAACGGTATGACTTAAATTTAAATAGTGCTGCTTTAAGTAAAAGACAGAATTTCTTRGTCTGATACAACCACATCTGTGTCAAGGCTACGTCTCTTCTCCTATTACTTCATCTGGCCCGGTTCCCCAGAGATTCTTAGTTCGGCAGAGCAGATCTTACAGCTCATCCTTGAACAGAACGAGTAAGGCAGAGGTGTGTTCTCAGGGTTTCCAAATCTAATCCTGAAAAAAATAAATAAATCTCCCAGTTCGGTTCATCTCAAACTAAACAATGTTTGATATTCAAATTGAAAATGTTCCTCCGTTTGACACACTTTCAAGACTGCGCACACAACGCCAGATTCACTGTAACAGAAGGATTTAGGAATTAAGCTGGAGGTTTTTAGAGCAAACATAATACCACCCCGGCAGAAGCTTAAAA